GATCAAGTGAGGATTGTGTTCATCCTCTGACATAAAGTGTAAGGAATATGTAAGAATTTGTAATAAATGACATTTGAATTTACTAGACTGTGGATGATGTCTATTGTAATTGATTATTTACATGTGCATGTATGTACGATACTATATGTCCTGTGGGGTGGAGCCCTGTGTGTCAGAGGCTCCGGGATTCTGTAATTTATTTATATTTTAATACAGTAAAGTGTGGGGCCCGGTCTGGGAGTCTGCTTTATTAATCCCTAATCGAGCTCCACGTCACCCACCCCGTTTGGGGGGGCGTGACACTACTGCTACAACTACTACTACTGCTACTACAACTGCTACTACTACTGCTACTTCTAATGTTGGTACTGCTACTACTGCTACTGCTACTGCTAATGCTAATGCTAATGCTGCTGCTACTACTACTACTACTACTACTACTACTACAGCTACTACTACTACTAGTACTGCTACTGCTTCTGCTGCTACTACAACTACTACTGCTGCTGCTGCTACTACAACTGCTGCTACTACTACTACTACTACTGATTTTTCTCCTACTACTGCTACTGCAACTGTTACTGCTACTGTTGTTATTCTGCTGCTGCAGTTACTGCTACTACTACTACAACTGCTACTGCTACTGCTCCTTCCTGCTGCTACTACTACTACTACTGCTACAACAACTGCTACTGCTGCTGCAGTTACTGCTACTACTACTACTACTGCTACAACAACTGCTACTGCTGCTACTCCTGCTACTACTACTCCAGCTACTGCTACCACTGCTATTGCTACTGCTACTGCTACTGCTGCTGCAGTTACTGCTACTACTACTACAACTGCTACTGCTACTGCTACTACTACAGCTCCTACTCCTGCTACTACTACTGCTACAACAACTGCTACTGCTGCTACTCCTGCTACTACTACTCCAGCTACTGCTACCACTGCTATTGCTACTGCTACTGCTACTGCTGCTACTACAACTCCTACTCCTGCTACTACTACTGCTACAACAACTGCTACTGCTGCTACTCCTGCTACTACTACTCCAGCTACTGCTACCACTGCTATTGCTACTGCTAATGTTGCTATTCTGCTGCTGCTGCTGCTATTGTTACAGCTACTGCTACTTCTACTGCTACTGCTACTACTACTGCTACTGCTACTCCTACTATTACTCCTACTACTACTACTACGACTACTACTACTAATACTACTTCTGCTAATGCTATTGATGCTGCTACTACTACTGCTACTCCTACCGCTCCTGCTACTACTACTGCTACTGCTACTGCACTTGCTATTGCTACTACTACTGCTACTGCTACTACTACTGCTGTTGCAACTACTACTACCACAACTACTACTACTGCTACTGCTACTTCTACTGCTACTGCTACTTCCATTGCTGCTGCTGCCGCTGCCGCTACTGCTGCTACTACTACTGCGACTGCTACTACTCCTACTACTGCTACTGCTCTAACTGCTACTGCTACTGCTACTGCGCCAACTCCTGCTACGGCTACTGCTACTGCTCCTACTCCTGCTGCTGTACTACTACTACTACTGTTGCTGCTTCTACTGCTGCTACTCCTGCTACTACTACTCCAGCTACTGCTACTACTGCTACTGCTAATCCTACTGCCGCTGCTGCTGCTGCTACTGCTACTGCTACTTCTTCTACTACTGCTACAACTACTGCTACTGCTACTACTACTGCTACTGCTAATGCTGCTACTGCTAGTACTGCTACTGCTAATGCTAATGCTAATGCTGCTACTACTACTACTACTACTACAGCTACTACTACTACTAGTACTACTACTGCTACTGCTGCTACTACAACTACTACTGTTGCTGCTGCTACTACAACAACTGCTACTACTACTACTACTACTACTTTTGCTACTGCTACTGCTATTGCTACTGCTACTGCTGCTGCAGTTGCTGCTACTACTACTACAACTACTACTGCTATTGCTACTTCTACTACTCCTACTCCTGCTACTCCTACTACTACTGCTGCTACTCCAGCTACTACTACTCCTGCTACTGCTACTATTGCTACTGCTGTTGCTACTGTTGCTGTGCTACTGTTGCTGCTATTGCTACTGCTACAGCTACTTCTACTGCTACTGCTACTGCTACTGCTACTGCTACTCCTACTACTACTCCTACTACTACTAGTAATACTATTTCTGCTAATGATATTGCTGCTGCTACTGCTACTGCTACTGCCACTGCTACTACTACTGCTACTGCTACTACTACTCTTACTGCTACTACTACTGCTACTGCTACTGCTACTGCTCCTACTTCTGCTACTGCTACTGCTGCTACTCCTGCTACTGCTACTCCTGCCACTGCTACTACTGCTACTGCTACTACTACTACTCCTACTGCTACTCCTGCTCCTACAGCTACTGCTACTACTTCTCCTGGTCCTACTGCTACTCCTGCTCCTGCTACTGCTACTGCTACTGCTACTCCTGCTACTGCTAGTGCTACTACTGCTGCTGCTGCTGCTACTACTAGTACTACAACTACTGCTACTGCTACAGCCACTCCTACTACTACTACTACTGCTACTGCTACTCCTACTGCTCCTGCTACTACTACTGCTACTGCTACTGCTACTGCTCCTACTGCTTCTTCTGCTACTGCTGCTACTACTCCTGCTCCAACTGCTACTCTTGCTCCTACTACTACTACTGCTACTGTTACTGCTACTGCTACTGCTCCTTCTCCTGCTACAGCAACTGCTGCTACTCCTGCTACTGCTACGGCTACTGCTACTACTGCTATTGCTGCTGATGTGCTGCTGCTGCTGCTGCTGCAACTGCTACTGCTACTGCTACTACTACTACTACTACTGCTACTCCTGCTCCTAAAGCTACTGCTGCTACTTCTCCTGGTCCTACTGCTACTCCTGCTCCTGCTACTCCTACTGCTACTCCTGCTACTGCTACTGCTACTGCTGCTGCAGCTGCTACTACTACAACTACTGCTACTGCCACTGTTACTGCTACTGCTACCCCTACTACTACTATTACTGCTACTCCTATTGATGCTGCTACGGCTACTGCTACTGCTACTGCTACTGCTACTCCTGCTGCTGCTACGGCTACTACTCCTACTACTGCTATTGCTCCTACTACTTCTACTACTACTACTACTACTACTACTCCGGTTCCTACTGATACTCCTGCACCTGCTATAGCTACTCCTGCTACTACTACTCCTACAGCTACTGCTACTGCTGCTGCTATTGCTACTGCTACTGCTTCGGCTACTACTACTACTAATGCTACTGCAACTCTACTACTTCTGCTGCAACTACTCCAACTGCTACTACAGCTGCTACTGCTGCTGCTGCTGCTACTGTTACTGCTACTACTACTGCTACTACTACTGCTACTGCTCCTGCTACTTCTACTGCTACAGCTCCTACTCCTGCTACTGCTACTACTACTGCTACTGCTGCTACTGCTGCTACTCCTGCTACTACTACTCCAACTATTGCTACTGCTACTGCTACTTCTACTGCCGCTGCAGCAGCTGCTGCTGCTACTGCTACTGCTACAACTACTGCTACTGCTACTGCTACTGCAACTGCTATTACTACTGCTACTTCTAATGTTGCTACTGCTACTACTGCTAATGCTAATGCTAATGCGGCTGCTACTACTACTACTACAACTACTACTACAGCTACTACAACTACTAGTACTGCTACTACTACTGCTACTACTACAACTACTACTGCTGCTGCTGCTACTACAACTGCTGCTACTACTACTACTTTTTCTACTGCTACTGCTACTGCTAGTGCTAGTGCTACTACTACTGCTGCAGTAGATACTACTACTACTACTACAACTGCTACTGCTACTGCTACTGCTCCTACTCCTGCTACCGCTACTGCTAATACTACTGCTACTGCTACGACTGCTAGTACTACTACTCCAGCTACTGCTACCACTGCTATTGCTACTGCTACTGTTGTTGTACTGCTGCTGCTATTGTTACTGCTACTGCTACTTCTACTTCTACTGCTACTGCTACTACTACTCCTACTACTACGACTACTACTACTAATACTTCTTTTGGTAATGCTATTGCTGCTCCTACTGCTACTGCTACTACTACAACTACTACTACTGCTACTGCTACTGCTACTGCTACTGTTACTTCCACTGCTGCTGTTGCCGCTGCCGCTACTGCTGCTACTGCTACTACGACTGCTACGACTCCTACTACTGCTACTTCTCTAACTGCTACTGCTACTGATACTGCGCCTACTCCTGCTACTGCTACTGCTACTGCTACTGCTACTACTACTCCTCCTACTCCATTTACTAATACCGCTCCTACTACTGTTACTGCTGTTACTGCTGCTACTACTACTCCAGCTACTGCTACTACTGCTACTGCTACTGCTACTGCTACTGCCACTGCTACTGCTGCTACTGCTACTGCTACTTCTTCTGCTACTGCTACTGCTACTGTTATTGCTACTACTACTGCTACTGCTAATGCTGTTATTGCTACTACTGCTACTGCTAATGCTAATGCTAGTGCTGCTGCTACTACTAGTACTACTACTACTACTACTACAGCTACAACTACTACTAGTACTGCTACTGCTACTGCTGCTACTACAACTACTACTGCTGCTGCTTCTACAACTGCTGCTTCTGTTGTTGCTACTACTACTACTTTTGCTACTGTTATTGCTACTGCTACTGCTACTGCTACTGTTGCTGCAGTTACTGCTACTACTACTACAACTGCTACTGCTCCTACTCCTGCTACTGCTACTGCTACTACTACTGCTACTGTTGCTACTGCTGCTACTCCTGCTACTACTACTCCAGCTACTACTATTACTGCTACTGCTACTGCTACTGCTGTTGCTGCTGTTGTTGTGCTGCTGTTATTCCTGCT